GACATCATCCACAAATAATAATGTCCACGACCTAAGCAACAGCGGTAACTCATTTACGTAGAGAAGGAAGAGCAGAGGGCCTAATATGGTGTCTTGGGGTACACCACTTTTGACCGGCTTCCAATCGAATAGCTTTAACAGCTTCCGGGTTTCCTTATTAATCCATGGAGGGCAATACGATAGCTTACATGCTGACCATGGGATAAACAGCGACGTTACGGACTCGAATGTAGCCTTAAACTTATTCTATTCGTCTTCGATCGATCCATCTGCGTCAACCGACCAATCAGTCGAGATAGCACAGTCTCTGATTGCCGGAATATTAGCCCGCCAGATATTGGGACGGGATGGAGCAGATACAAATCGTATACCATGTGTCCTAAACGTAAAGTGAAGTACGACGTGATCACTGTTCACTAGTGGGGGAAGTTGCTGAATATCAAAGACATCCTCACAGTGGGGGGTGAGGGCGAGGTCCAGCAGTGACGGATCACGTCTCAGATCAATATGTGTCGGTTTAGTGATACATTGGACAAGTACACACTGAATAACTGTTGATAAAAGTTCACTATCGAAACCTCGACCTGGAGCTGTAAGCTCTATCCAGTTTATGTGCGGTGCGTTGAAGTCCCCAATGATGAGACAACATTCTTCCATACTCCAAGAACAGATGTCTTAGGATAAAGTAATCGGCAAAACAATACGGACTACGGTATATTCCCCATATAGTCACTAACCCATTTCTAGATCTAATCTTACAACATGCTACCTCACATGTACCACTAACATGAGCCTCCAATATGATTGATTGTAATATGAAAGTGATCCCTAATGTATAACATTATGCCTACCCCCTTGCGACTTAAAACTCTCACTTCTAATACAGCTATAGCCTGCAATGATGGGAGAACATTCTATATCTACGGTGAACCAAGTTTCTGTAATGACGATTATATCGGGACTTAATTCATCCACCATCAGACTTATCTCGGACGTTTTATTCCTAAGACTACGGGCGTTCGTGTAGCACACACTTAAGGTGTTTTGGTAGTCATCCGTTCTACCCATACAGGCCCCGGAAGCATTGGCTTCCAAGACCTGGCTACCCGAAAACCCTTAATGGTAAGGTTAGTTTCGCCATTTAACTTGCGAGTTCTCAACTCCGTAAGAGCATTCTTTCACTTTATTCGATCCTCAAACGGCCAATCTGGTCGGATACGAATATTTAAATCACGAATTTTTTGTGCGTTTTTCAATAATATATCTCTTTCTTCAAAACTCCCTAGAACCAGCTTCAAGATCCTTCTTGGTTGGGTCTCGCCTCCAACCCATTTACCGAGTCGTATCACTTTCGTGATATGTACTCCTGAAACCTCTTCAGGTAGTACGTTTCTTACCACGGATTCTACTAACTTTAGATCATGTGCATGTCTCTTAGCAGGGTCGTTGTCTATCGACTCCTCTAGATTCCAAATAATTAAACTAGGGAGTGGTTTAGCTTCTTTTGGAATCGTGTTTACAGCTATCGATCGTGACCTTACATCCTGTATATTAACTACTGGTATCTTACGATTAGTTTTTATTGTAACAGAGTCATTAGAGTCGAGCGAGTGACTCACAACAATGTTTGAAGAGGCTTTACTTTGGGACTTTGGTGGAGTGGTCTAAGAGTTCACCAAAGACTTATCAAGTAAACGGTCATTATTTTTAGCTGTCTTTCTTACTCTTCTGCGTTTCCGCGTCATCCATATTCCGTCAGCCGTAGCATCTACATCAGAACTGCTCGGGACAGTAATTGTTTTATCTGGATCACCAGTTGCTGCTGTAGCAACATGGCCACCAACATCTAATGAGGTGTCACTCATTGATTGTTTCGGGGTACAAATTTTAATTTCGGGTTGCACAGTTAGATGTCTGACTTGCGCCGTGACAGCACTTACGACACTAACGCGATCTCCGCCATCAGCACCAATATTGCCAGTGCAGCCCTCATCAACCTTCTTATTAGCCAATACCAGGAGGCTAATGGCTTCCTGGATGAGTGTTGTTTTGCTTGAGCAACAAAAACTACAAAGCCAATGAGAGTTGGGCTCCGAGCACCTTTTATATGCAGCGGGGCTTAGTCGGGTGCACATCTTGTGGAACCACTTATTACACTCATCACATTGCATCCTTTCTTCCACGGGGAGTAAGCAATATGGTCGTCCACATTTATGAGCCGATTTGACCATCTTGAAAACCAAGTACAATGGTGATACAAACAGGATATGTAAAAGAATACTAAAACCTTGACTAAATTAATCAAGTAAAAGTCGACCAAGTATGCTTCGATGCAATAAATACACAAAAGCAGAATCGAAACACTCAATACAATATCACTTTAACTGGAGTAGATTCAATTAAAGTGTAAACAGTAGTTTTGATGCGTAATTTACGACCAAAACAGTTAATTAACTCAACGAGAAACAATACCAGTGTCATTTTAGAAAGCGCGCTTCATAGAGCGAATGGGTACAGGTTGTAAGGAAGAAACAGAATAACGATATAAAAGGGAACCCTGCCCCCACAAAAGTAGTCGAAAAATCGAAGGCTGATCACAGTAACACGTCAGTCATTTTTCATAGGAGCAAGGAGAGCGAAAACCCTGAACCAAAAACTCGTTTTGAGCATGACATTGTCCTGATAAAACAGCTATTTAATCAACTCATGCCTCAAAATATCTCCGGAGTCACCTTGCTAAAGGTGTATAGACTGGGTAGTCTAGCGAACTTGAAGCCTAATCAATCTAGACTGCTTAAAGTAGTATTCAAATCTTCGAACGAAAGGGACTTAATTTTACAGAATGGACATAAATTAAAGGGTTCGGGTGTTTTTATCCGAAAGGACTTGCCGTTGGCAGACCGTGTAAAAAGACGGGAAGCCGAAAAAGAACTACAAATTAGGTTAGACGCTGGCGAAAAGGACCTGAAAATTGCAAATTTTCGGGTTGTGAGGCTTCGTCAGAGAATGATACCGAAGCCAATTAAATAGGCTACGGATCTGTTACACTAATGCCCGAAGCTTGCTCAATAAGCTATCGGAACTAGGTGAACAGATTGACTCTACAGAGCTGTAAGTCTAGAAAGCTGTACGAAGAAAAAATTGCTAAGGAATCCATAGAATGTCCTAAACGCTTGTATTCCTATATAAACCAAAGGACAAAAAGAAGAGGAAATATTCCTGCACTAAGGGGAGACAGTACTGCCGCATCATTAGTGGAAGATGACTTTGGTAAGGCTCAAATGTTCTCAAACTACTTTAGCAATGTATATACCATAGAAGCGCCCTTCCCGTCAGCGCATACTAACCCCCACACACACACATACACTGGATAGCGTGACCATTAAAGAACTCGATGTCTTTGGTCTGCTAAATAAGCTTGACATAGGTAAATCCATGGGGCCCGATGAATTGCATCCAAGGCTACTAAAGGAATTATCTAACTTCGTTGCGAATCCTTTAAGTATATGCTTTAAGCTATCCGTAACGCAGGGTCGTTTACCAAAAGACTGGAAGAACGCCATAGTAAGTCCTGTCTTCAAAACAGGTACGAAACATAAACCTGAGAATTACCAACCCGTTAGCCTAACTAGTGTGATTGTTAAAATCTTAGAAAAGATTATTCGGAAGGAGCTGTTTAAGTACCTCGATGTAAACCGAATCCTCTCGGAGAAACAGCACGGTTTCAGAATTGGTTATTCTTGTCTCATTAACTTATTAGTCACTCGAGAAAGCTGGTGCGCTTTTAAGGACCAAAAGTTACCTGTAGACGTGGCTTACATTGATTTCAGCAAAGCTTTTGACAAAGTTCCGCACAACCGGCCGTTATATAAGCTAAAAAATGTCGGAATTGGAGGCAATCTATTGACGTGGATAGAAGACTTCCTTGTTGGGCGCCAACAAAGAGTACGGGTAAACTCAAAATTACCTAGCTGGGAAACTGTGCTTAGTGGAGTGCTGCAGGGTACAGTTTTGGGGCCAGTGCTATTCCTCTTGTATGTAAATGATCTTCCTCGCTTACTATCATCATCGGTCTTGCTATATGCTGACGATGTCAAGATATGGAGAACGATACGATGTAAGGGTGATAGCTTAGAACTCCAAAATGACCTGAAGATATTATCCGAATGGTCTCATACATGGCAGCTGCCGATAAATACTTCCAAGTGTGTTGTGATGCATATCGGTCATCAAGGTTCAGATACATACACGATGAATAACACTGAGCTACCTGTTTTCCAGACACATAATGACTTAGGAGTCATCGTTAGTCAAGATCTGAAGACTAATGCACACTGCCGTGCAATAGCCGCCAAAGCTTTTAGAACTTTATGGTCAATACGTAGGGCTTTTACTCATGTCGACGCTCAAACGTTTTTGACTTTGTATACAGTGTTCGTACATCCTAAACTTGAGTACATCATACAGGCGGTTAGCCCCTGCTTAAAAAAAGACAGTGAGCTTTTGGAAAAGGTCCAGAGAACAGCAACTAAGCTGATTCCCGGAATAGCGAAGCTTCCGTATGATGCTCGACTGGTCAAGCTAAACCTATTCCCTTTGTCATATCGTAGAACTAGAGGCGACTTGATTACAGTTTTCAAATTGCTTAGTGATAAATTTGCACATGATATGCCCTCATTTTTCTTCCCTTCCAAAACAGAGAATTTACGGGGGCACTCCAAAATAGTTCACAAGCCCAGAACAAAGTACTTGTCAGCTGATCATCAACTTTCCAACCGAATCATCAACGAGTGGAATTCATTAACTCAACACGTGGTCGAAGCTCCATCCGTAGATTCTTTCAAAAGAAAGTTGGATCAACTGAGAGAACACAATTGCCAGGACTAACACAGGCCATCAAGCCTCCTGTCCTTTCCAAACTGAAACTAAGATTCTCCTTAATTAGACAACATTTTGCCTAGGAAAGGGAGATTGGAAATAAAACTTTCAGATATTCATACCTAAATCCGCTGAGACTATAATTTACGGATGACCTTTGAGCGATGTTAAAGTGACCTTGAGAATGTTCACCTACTTACTAGAGCTAAATAAGGGTTATAAAGCATTATAAAGAATAAGGATGGTGATTTCAAGTTGGTGGTTACAAATAATTACTTCGACGACTTCTCGAAACAGTATACGAAGAACCCTTCAAAGTTCTTCAGCGTGAGTCAAAGTTATTTATTTATTTATTTATTTATTTGAACACATAAATATTGGTACAGGGGGGCACCAAATATATATGCGCCACACAAAACAATGATAATTTGAAGAGAAGGAGAAAAGAGAAAAAAAAAGTAATGAACGTGGGGAATTATAAAAAAAAGGGGAGAGAGAGAGAACAATGGTGGGGAAAACGGAAAGGTACAATCAGAACAGATCTTTCAATTAAGGAAGATATAACCACTTTCTATGAAGAAAGTAAGAGGTTACAGCACGATCGCCACTGGCTTCTATTCTTAGCCATATCTGATAACGTTTCTAGCCACTGCGTTACATCGTCTCTCGGACCCCAACCAGGGAGTCGTGAAGGACCAACAGAAGCTAGCCCTTTGCAGCTTTCTTTCATACCGCGACACCATGTCATATACTGACCACCTCTCCGCTTTTTCCAACCAGTCCCAGAGTCGGCAAATAATGCACGACGTGGAATTCTCTGGGACGACATTCGTAGAACATGTCCAAGCCACCGAAGTCGGTGTTTCAAGATGGTGACACCAATTTCATTATCGTCTCTGTGACCGAACACTCGATGCCGAACCTCTGCATTACTGACATGGTGTTGCCACTGGATACCAGCAATCCTTCGGAGACAACGATGATCGAACACAGAGAGTCGTCTAACATCCTCAACTCGGAGAGGCCAGGTTTCACAAGCATAGAGCAAAACTGCTCTCACCGTCGCGTTGTAGATCCGACCTTTTACAGCCAGACTAACATCACGAAGGCGCCAAAGGTGGCCCAGATTGGCATAAGCCGCTCTGGCTTTCACTATACGAGCATTGATCTCATCACTCACACCACCACCAGCACTTATGCAGCTACCTAGATACACGAACTTCTCGACTACTTCTATCTGCTCACCATCCAGAGTGAGTAAAGGATTAGAATCCTGCCAGTCTTGTAGAAGTACTTTGCACTTCGAAGGTGCAAAGCACACACCATACCTACGGACATTGATTGCCAACTGATTAAGTGCGGATTGCATAGCTTGGGCATTCTCGCACAGTAAGACAATATCATCCGCATACTCAAGGTCGAGAAGTCTTTCTCCAGGCAACAGATCCACACCACCATTACTTACATCCGTCAGAGCTGTTTCCAGAATGTCATCGATGGCAAAGTTGAAGAGGAATGGTGAGATTGGGCAACCCTGCCTAAACCCACTGCTTGAATGGAATAATGGAGAGATGTGGTTGTATGCACTCACTCTGCCTGAGGTGTTTGTGTATAGGGCTTTTAGGATGTTAATAAACTTCTCAGGCACACCCTTCTTCAATAGACAATCCCAGAGAACAGTTCTGTCCAACGAATCGAAGGCAGCCCTGATATCAAGAAACACTACGATTGTTGGCCTTTGATAAGTATGGCGGTGTTCTAACACTTGGCGGAGGGTGAAGATATGATCAATAGATCCTCGACCAGAACGAAACCAAGCCTGCTCCTCGCGAGTCAATCCTTCTCGGGTCCTGAACAACCTACGAAGTATGACGGAAGCCAATAGCTTGGACGCAATCGGAAGTAGACTTATACCCCGATAGTTGTTATAGGAACAACGTGAACCCTTTTTAAAGATAGGGACAACTATCGACTCATTCCATGACGTTGGTACACACTCTAGTTCCCAGATCTTTGTAAACAACGTCGTCAGTCCCTTAGTCAGAAAGTCACCACCATCTTTAAAAAGAGCCGGAGGTAAGTCGTCTGGGCCCGGTGATTTGTAACGTTTCAAGAGTTGGAGTTCCTTGCGGACTTCCGCCTCATTTGGTGGATCAGTCGTCACCGGCCATGGAGGGCAGGACAGTCTGACCGATGTTGCCGGAGCAGCAAACCAGCTGAACTGAACTGCCCTTCGGAAAATTCCGCCCATCGTCCAAGACGTCGATGGATGTTAGTGATTGGCGTTCCGTCATCCTCGCAGATTATTTCGCTCACACCGGACTTCTTGCTGCCAGTGGCTCGGATGAGTTGGAAGAGCTTCCGGTAATTACCAGATGCAGCTGCTGCTTCCAACTCACTGGCACGCTCCGACCACCAGACCTCTCGGTCCTTACGCAAGCTTTGCCCAATTTCATTACGTAACATCCTTCGTCTGAGGTCAAACTCACGGTCACCCGGAGTAGACCGATGGGCTTCAATCAGTTGTAAGGAACCAGAAGAAACCCAGTGCTTGTAAGCGGGACGTTTCGCAAACCCACAACAGACTGTACCCGCCACTTTCATGGCGTCATGCAATTGCAACCAATGCTCATCTATACTTTTCGGTTGAATGGTAGCTAGCCTAGAAGCTAGCTCGGTTCGGTACTTACTAGCAACAGAAGTTGCAGCCAGCTAGCTAACATCAATCCTTTGGTGGCGGTCACTTCGTTGTCTACTGAAAAGTAAGGTAAGATTGGCGCAGACCAGAGCATGATCAGATTCCAGATAGGTACTCCAAAAGGAGCGGCAGTCTTGTACACAACCGCGCCAGCGGTAGCTGATCGCGATGTGATCAATCTGAGTCCAGGCTTGAGATGCAGAAGGAGGACGCCAGGTGGCACATCGGCGATGACTGTGCCGAAAGTTAGTGCTAGCCAGAAACAGGTTGTGGTCTGTGCATAGTTGCAGTAGACGTTCCCCGTTATCTGTCCTGCGACCAACGAGTCCCCATCGGCCACCTAAACGACTCTCTTCTGTGCCTAGACGCCCGACCTGAGCATTCAAGTCTCCAGCTAGTACTACAATATCTGTCGAACGCACTTTCTGGAGAAGAACAGTTAGCTGATGGTAGAACTCGTCCTTGATTGCATCTGGGCTGCAATCTGTCGGGGCATAGGCGGAGATGACGAAAAGACATCGTTTCTCACGCCGATTTCTTCTCACTTTGATGGAACTTTCTAATCTAACAGCACATAACCGACTGTTAATGGGGATCCAGTCGACTAGTGCTGCCTCAGCTCTTGCGCTTAGTGCGACACCAACGCCAGCAAGACCAGACGAAGATGCCACAGGGTCCCCGGATAAACGCACATAAAACAAGCTTTTTGAAGTGACAGATGGAGAGCGAACTTGTAGTACTTCACCAGAGTCTTGAATACGGGTCTCGGATAGACAACACACATCAATATTAAGACTTTCCAAAGACATAGCCAGTCCTATCTGTTGTCCGACCTGCATAAGTGTGCGAACGTTGAAGGTAGCCAGTTTGAATGGTGCACGCGGTTTCAGAAAAACTGCTTCAGTACTCATGTTCGGTAGTAACATACAATTTTCAACCAGGCAGTGACTCGGGAACGTTTAGATAAAGCTGAATTTTCACCACAGGTGAGCTGCTGTCTAGGTCGAAACGCATATATAAAGTAGGAATAAGAGAGGGTGAATAAATGACGTGGTAGAGTAGTAATAATAATAATAATAATAATAATAACAATAATAATAATAGTACGAGTTATTTCAATGTTAATCAGATAGAAAGGAATATTTTCCATAAGCAAATTGTTCATCATAGTTTTAGTGAGTGGGCTGGGATACTGCCCGGGTGCCCAGACCGAAGCAGGTGGTTTTCTTAGGGGGCCACACCCGGAGCCTTTGACCTAAAGGTCTAGTCCACAAGGCAGTGGAGCATCGTGAGGAGATGCAGTCCCATGGAAGCCGGTGACCAAAAGTTGGTTCATACGCCATTTGTTCCCGCAGGATACTGGAGCCCATGTGCACCATTGGTTTGGGATCCGGTTATAGCGCCGGACGTTCGCTTTTCGTCCTCTCATTTTCGTAAACAACACCCCCGCCACGAGAAGGCAGCGAGTAGGACTTCCCTTGAAGAGGCTGTATACGCGTGGCCGTGTGAGAGTATTTCGAGAGGGAGAGCGGACTCTCTCCACTCTCGGCCATACCAGGGCATTTGGGGGCTCAGTCGGTAGAGCATCAGACTTTTTTTTTGTGAGTCAAAGTACCACATAATTGATAAGAAAGTATGGTTCAAATGGTTGTGGACGGAATAGAAGAAGCTTTCGCTTAACAGGTTCCCATTGTCTAGTAGCAGGGGATCACCAATACTTCCAGGCAAGAACCTAGGTATATTAACGATAAAAGAGAAATAAAATTGGTAAATCATAGTAAAATACTATCCTCAGTCCATAAGAATAGATCAAGTCGCCTCTTAAAGGACTCCTGGGAAGTTGCTTGGACTAGTTCAGCTGGCAGCGAATTCCAGCATTTGACAACTCTTAAGGAGTAGAAGTTGTGCCTGCAGTCCGTTCTACTATGTTGTATCTCTAATTTCTGGGTATTATCCCTTAGGTTAGTGTTGGGACTAAGCTTAAGTAGGTGTTTAAGAGGGTGTCCATGAGTGTTAAGAATACTGTAAGCCATTATATGGTCACCTCTAAGACGCCTATACTCTAATGGGTAAAAGTCCAGTGATTGGAGGCGTTCATCGTAAGGTTTAAATTTGAGTCCTCGAACTGATTTCGTGGCTCGCCGTTGGATACGCTCCAGAGTGTCCTTATCCTTTTGGAGTGTAGGAGGAAATACTATGTTTTCGTACTCTAGATGGGGACGAGTGAAACTATTGAAGATTACGTGAAAAGTTCTCCCGTCAAACTGACCAAAAATGCGCTTCAATGTTACCAGTGCAAGGTTTGCTCGAAAGGAATTTCTGCCACAGTTAGCGTAAGACTTTAAGTCGTAGGGCACCAGAACTCCTAAATCTTTTTCGACTAAGGATACGACTAGAGAGGAGTTTCCTAAGTTGTAACTGTAATCTGCGACATGTCGCAGATGGACTACTTTACACTTTGAAGTGTTAAAGGTAAGTCCGTTGTCGTCTGCCCAACTT